AAAAAAAAAAGAAAAAAAAAACAGAATCTCCCTTAGTATGAATCGTCCCTTTGGTATTTTCTGATGGGTTACAAATGTAATAGCAAATGATAGATGTTGACTGCGTTGATTACTTGCAGTTAGTAGCGAAGTCAGGAAATTCAATAGATATTCTTTGCAAGTGGATTATGTTAGGGTGTTCAAAATCTATTTTTTAATCAATAACAAATAATATTTTACTTTATATATAGTATAATTTTTCGGCGAAGGGTGTTCAGTTGACCACTCTTGACCATACATCGTTGCCCCTGGTTGCAGTGGTGAAAGGATGAGTTGTTCCCCTCCTTTTTCCGGGAAGTTTTAACCTTGTTGACTATTGCAACAGTTTAGACTATAATCAGACTCGTGACTAAGGCAGGGTTGTATATATACTCTATACTCTCGCGACCCCTACTAAAGCCAATCCCAACCCGTTTACAAAACGGGGCTAGTGCTTAATCTTGGTTGATTATTCCAATCTCTTTATAGGGTGATCACACCAATAGCTAGTTGTGGAGCACATATAACCATTTCTTGGACTATTGATATTGAATTGATATTTTTCCATGAAAATTTGGAGGAAGAGATATACATACAAATTCGTCACGTTCTGCAAACATGGAGTGAATAGAGTTTGTAGGCTACGGAGGACCTTTTACAATTTGAAACAAGAAATTGGTATGAAAATATTCACCAATTTGCTTGTTAGCATTGTATTTCGACAACCCATTACGGACCAGTAGTCATTAACATTGGATTATTCTTCATTTTTCAAAAGTGGCAGCACTGATTAATGTTGATGATGTGACTAGGCCACAGTAGTGGCAGAGCCAGAATTTTCATTAAAGAGGTCAAAATATAAAAAAATAAACTCGTTAAGAAGTCAACGGGTGTCATTATATAGTATATATACATATTTAAAACAAATTACCGAGCTATACAGTATAATTTTACGACTAAGAAATATCGGTTGACACCCCTTTGGTGCATGTGGCTCCGCCATTGGGCCACAGTACACAGCACATGTAAGTATTACATAATATATATACATATTACACTTAGAAAACTTATTTGGAAAATTTTGGTTGAACATGTTTATGAGAGATATCTTCAATAAGAAGAGAAAATTGGGTCATGTTGGGCTATGATCCATAGTTTAGTCTTGTGAGAATTTATGAGAGAAAATTTTATTTATTAACAATGAGCTCTATATATGATACATATTCTATTCCTAATACATAGGGGACTGGGACATATTCTATTCCTACTATATATAGGACTAGGACTATTTACATATAACTATCTAACACTCCCCCTTAAATCGGTGCATACAAATCATATGTACCGAGTGTGTTACATATATAACTAATACGAAGACTAGTCAGAGACTTGATAAAAATATCTGCAAGCTCATCATTCGACATATAGGGCCACTAGAATCCCCCTGAGCAACAAAACTAGGTGGTTGCTGATAAACAAAAGTTAGCAGAAAAGTCGCCAGAAAAATTTGAAAATAGTGAGACTAAGACGAATTCCACACTCCAAAACACAACCAAAAAATAGAAACTTTTCTGGAAAATCATTATTCACGTCGGAAAAAGTGCATTGTTCAAGCCGAAAAAATAAGATAGTTAGAATTTGATATAATCTATATGAGTAGGTTCGGAATCACTGGACGAGTAAGTTGTCCTGAAGAAATTTTGTCAAAAAGTGACCGGAATAGCTCACACGCGCCGGAAAAATTACTGTAGCTCACCGGAACCCTAATTCTGGAGGCGCGTGACTTTCTGCTAGAGCGATTGACTAGAGTTTTGTTGCTTGACTTTTTCGAACAAGATGGCAGTGCTGGTTTTCGCACAACACTTACCGATGAGAGTCGTCAATCGGAAAGACGCACGGTGACTGACTTTTCTATTCAAATGAGACTGGAATTTCTGGGATTTGATTGCATAAGGGTTTCAAATCTGTTGGCGGTACTGTTATATCACAGTACCACTGTAGCAGCGATGAACCCTGTGAACAAGACGCAGTTGCCAAAAAATTGCACGGCAATGAGATCTTTCTTCCCGAATGTCGCTAGAATGACGCACAATGGTAATTTTCTCATTGAAGCTTTGATACCAATGTGAGAATGCACGAAAGAAAAATCTATTTATTAACAATGATACAATGAGCTCTATATATAATATTTTGACCCAGTCCATCTCAGCCCAAGTTGGGCTGGATTGAGCAATGACTCATTTATTGAGTTAGCCCCTTTTTACCCACCCAAACTCAGCCTAGACTGGCTATTTTCCACCTCTAATTGCATATAGCTCATAGCTACAAATCTAGTTTTTCTTCAGCAAGTGAAGTACATCAACATTGATTGCCACTTTATATGTCAATACCTTCAACAAAAGGACACTGTCACAATTTCGATTCTACAAAGGATCAACCTGCACACAGTGATGGGGTTAGAAATTCTGATAAAGGGATCCAAAAAAGTCTAAACTCCCGTTTGACCATAAAATTTGGTATTTTTTTTTTCAAATTTTGATTTTAAATATCTGATTGTTTGTAGATTTAAACCCCTTTTTTGGCTGATTTAGAAAACAAAATCTTCAAATCCAAAATATAGTTCTAGAGTAGTTTTTGAAGTTTTCTACTTACAGAACTTCAGATTTTTTTCAAGAAAAATACATGTCCAAACACAATTTCAACTTTCAGAAATTATTTTTCATCTCATCTTTAAAAACTCATTTTTTCAAGTTTCAACTAAATCTATATCCAAACGCTAGCTAAAATGCCACATTATCGGAAATTTGAACTTGTATTTCTCTTATACCGAGGAGATTCAAAATTTTATATTTGTAAAAAAAATATTTTTATCCTATTTATGTAGTACTATAATTTTCCAACCTGAATCCAGGTAGCAATAAGTGGCAGATTTTATTGGATTATAATTTTAGTTCAAGTTAATATTATCATTAACAAGTAAGACGCCAAAGACATGAGCTAAGAACTTATATACTAGGGATGTACATAATACTATGTGATCACCCCAACTCTAGTCCTAAAAAGAATAAGCGGTCGTTGTAAATATAATCCGGTCTAAAAGTCCGGAGTCGAATCCCACAGAGAACTAAGGTTTAGCTACAACTGTTCACTATCACCAAGAAGATAAGTGCGAACAATTCCTAAGTTATAAATATTAAGATTCTTATATTTAACTAATTGACTAACAAACTAAAGAAGTAAATTAACAACTAAAGATACTAAGGGTTAGCGACTAAATTAAGGAGGTCTAGAGTTATGATTTTTTCAATTATCGGAATCGTTCCCGCTATGTTCCCTACAATTTTGCCTATATATTCTCTACTGATCGTGAGCACTTTAGGTGTCATAATTCTATCTCGAGCAACTACAATAATTTACTAGACATATTCTCTGGAACTACGCTAGTTGGCTTTATCTAACCGCTCACTATGACCATGTCAAGGCTTTGTTATTTCTAAACCTACCTTTAAACCTGATGTATTGATTTCTCACATACGTTAGGAGTGGCGTTGTTCAACAACTACCTAAATATGTATTCTTTCTCAAACAACAAATAATAAATAGGCACAGTCAATCGATGGCCATTCAATCAACTAAAATAAGTACGTAATTGAACAAATAGATAAATTCAAAGGTTAAATTATATTAAAACATAACAAGAATTCATCCTCCAAGAGGTTCCATCAAAACCCTTGTGATGACCCAAAAGGTCATCTTCTATTTTAGAAATTGACTCCGTGTTTTGAGGCCTTTAAAAAATCTTATTTTACCTCTCCTCGATTTGCGTGCATAATTCGGGCATGATTTCGGAAAGCCTTTATGTGGAAATTTATGGAATAATAATTTTTGGCCTAAAAAGTTGATTTTTGGTGACTTCGGTTAATGTTTTGGGTAAACTGACCCGGACCTGTGTTTTGATGGTTCCGGTAGGTTCGTTGTAAAATATGAGACCTAGGCGTATGTCCGGAATCGAATTCCGAGGTCCCAAGCCCAAAAATAAATTTCTGATGAAAATTGTAAGACTGAAATTATAATGATTTAAAGAAATTGGTTAATATTTGTTCTCGTTGGTATCATGCCCGTCTTTTAGTTTCGAAGCCTGGTACAGGTCCAATAGGATATTTATACCTTATCTGTGAAATTTGGTGAGAAACGGTACTGATTTGGCGTTATTCATACCTTTGGTTGAAAAGTTAGAAGTTTT